AATAAAAAAATAGACATTCGAGTTACCTTCTATTCTATTAGGGCCAACCCATCCCGTAAAGAAATTATCCATATGCAAGAAACGACGTCAAATAAAGAAGATATTTATACAATAGTACCTATATAGATACTAGCGTTTTCCTGCGGCTCCGCCCGCATAGTACATTAATATAATATACTAAAACCTTCTCCGAAACACGCTGCATCTTATGGTATGAGTATTGTTCCGATCGGTTCAGTAGTTATCGCAGTATAACCGACCAAAAATCGGTTCTCCATTTATTAGTATAGATGTGACTTTTTTCAATTTTTAGTCCAAAATCCGGAAGTAACTTACAAATACAGATTATGCATGCATTTAACGAAAGAACACTCGTTTTATATCCCAAGAATATAAATCAAACGCTAACTACTTCCATTTAATATTATATGCTTAATCTACTATGTAAATGAACGCTGAACTAAAGCCATATATGGCAGAAATTCTACATGTTGGCGCCATGTAATAATCAAATATTTATAGCCTGCTAGTTTCTAGAATAAATATGCAACTAGAAACAATGAGCCCAAGTTAAATATGAATAGCAAATGTTTAACAAAATGTTTTAAATAACTCAAAAGAAAAATGTATAATAAATAAATAAATATGTTGGAACATTACCACATAGCACCATCTAGTTCCATGGTAAGCTACAAGGCTTGTGTTATGGATACCAGATAGTTGATACACAACACATATATAATTTGAAATATATACATATTATACATACATATTTAAATACATACATATTAAAAAAAACATTCGTGCTCATCACACAAATGAATGTCCCCGGCGGGACTCGAACCCGCGACTGCTTGCACAGCAAGTAGGGTTACTACAAACTGAGCCAAATGTGTCGTCAAATGATGAGTCTTTGTAAAAAAATGGAAATCTTTTCATATAATTGACTAAGATATAACGTAATATTTATGTACAAAAGGCATAAAATCGAATAGATAATAATAGAGTACCTCCTCATATTACTACTTTTTGAAGTCGGTCAAAAAATTAAAAAACCTATAAAGTTGGAGAAATATTGATACGTAAAAGAATTTTAGGCTCTCCACAGATAACCGTTGAATTTAAAGCAAGACTGGAGAAAGTCTGGTCCGAATTAAATATTTTTTTATATTTAAAAAAAATGTATATAAATCTGTAACAGTGCTGAACTTTAAAAGCTAAATAAAGAGCTAAAAAAATTATTTTGAAATAATTCAATAGTTGCATTAAGAATACAATTATGTATTCTGTACATTTATACTAATATTATAAAGAGGTAAAATTTGTGAGTTTGTGACTTTGTAGGGGATATGGATCTACTGAACCGATTTAGATGAAATTTGGTAAGAAGGTAGTTTGAGACCCTAGGAAGGACATAGGATACCCGAGCGAATCGAGGTTGAGACGCTAGTTAGAAATAAAAAAAAAAAAAAAAAAATAAGATACCGGATGGTAGTACAATATTAATATTCTTGAAAAACGTGTAAAACCATGACGCAATGCTAGTCCCACAATATATCATCGAGAAATTCTTGCACTATAATTCAGTACAACAAACCCCATGTTACAATTAAGGCAAATAAAGATATCGCTCTCTTTAATATCGTAATATAACTCAAAGAATGAAATTAATCATCTGCCTGTTGTATCTGGCGTGTCTGATGAGATTTGTACGGTGGTCAACACCCAAATACATCCACTCGTATATAACCCTTATTTTTAATGTTATTAGACCTTTTATTGTGTGAATTCATTTTAAATACGATTTAGTAATAGATGTTATTAATCATATGCAATGAGTCACAAACATTCCTTTGCTGTAATCCTGTTCCTCGACCGTTAGATAAACTGAATGAGGAGTATGCGATCCAATTTAGGTTCTAAGTCTCTGTGATAAGAATTATATTATATAAGCAGCATCAACAGCTTCAAGTCTCTTCTTTAAAACAAATCATTATTCAGGATAATATAATTTCATTTAAATATTAAATGAGCTTTTGTTTGGAAATTATATTTTAAGTTGCTAATGAGTCAATTACTATGTAAGTAATTTGACATATACCTATACATTAAATCTAAAGATGATATAGCTATTAAATATTACCACAGATCATAATACTATACTAGTATATATATTACTAGTTTTCGCCCAGTGACCAAAATTCGACCATTATGGTCGATTGTATTATTGAAAATTTGAGGAATCTTGTATAAATAAAAAAATCTGTTTCCAAAAAATTTTGATTGTCGACACGAAAGCTCGTTAATCTACTGATTCTAAATAAAAAAAAAGAAGAAAATGACAAACAGAGAAGAAGGTGAACTGCTTTGTCTTTGCCTATTTACATATTGATACTAGCATTGCCCACGGCTCCGCCCGCGATCAGATGACCAAAAACCAAATTCTTAGGTTATACATATTAGTATACTCTTACATTGCAGTTTTTGTACTTTTTCCCAGAAATTCGACATTTTCCCGCGGTAAAAAGTATCCTATACCTATGTTGACCAGGATAACCAGCTATCACCATACAAAATTTCATCAAAATCCCTCGAGTGGTTATTCTATGATGCGGTAACAGACAGACAGAAAAAAATTCTAAAAACTATAGATTCGGCCTCTGTATCGATAATAATGTCTATTTCAATAAGATTTTCCAAAAAATATTTAATGTACATATTCGGCTTAGTTACAATTTTATTATATGTATAGATTAATATTTTTTTACTGCAATATATGTATATTTAGCCAGTCATTCACTATTAATTACAAATGTGATATTAGTGGATAAAACCATAAGCAAATAGATAATTAAATTAGTTTTAAGATTTACATCAGAAATTAATATAAGATATACCATTTGTTTTTTGATCGCTTTTCATTCGGATTTGGAGCAGCATTGGAAATATTTGAAGGTGTGTACCTAAATTTTTGTTTTAGTAGATTTGTAGCTGACGTAGAATCATTTATTGTTATTTATTTATCATATTGATAATCATTTATTTAGTTGTTTGTCGTATAATATACTGTTATATGATCATAGTTGTGGAACATAAATATTTGTTGAATTAGCCAAAGTAATTGGCTTTTAATCCATACTGTTTATTATAGTGGTCTCCCATGTTTTATCATTATAAAATTTATTTTTAGTCATCATAGCTTATGGGTTTTCAGTATGACCTAATATTCAATGATCTATCACAATAATATTGACGGTTTCACAATACTAGTCTAGATTTCCTTTTAGAATTACATTTTGTTTATTGCATTGTATATATTTTATTGTATCATATTAAACGTTTTATTTATCATCTAGACTTGTATTATTTATTATTTTAGTTAGAATTAGAATACTAAGGTTATAATTGTTAGCGTAATTGCGGATATGTAAATGTCAAATACGGTCATGCGATGCATCGTGGATTCCCGTTACTATTTCCTACTTATGTTATTTTAGTGGGCTTGATTGCATACTATTAAAATATAGGCGATGTGATATATAATTATAGCGATTTATCGTGTGTATGTTTTTACACTTGAATAGCTTAGTAATTTCTTTAAAAAGGAAATTTCAAGTAAATTTTCCGTGTCGTTTTCTAATAATTGATTTTAAATTTTAATTAGACTTGAATCGATAATATATGGTACAAGCCTCATCTGAAAATAGTATTATAAAAACTAAAAAAATTGAAGATGATTAGATAGTAAAAATTCTTTCACATACCTACCGTAAGTTCAGTCATGGTTATAAGGAATATGTTTCATCGGCAAATCTTATCCAGGTTTTTGCATATTACATGCTGCTCGGACAGACTTACACACGGTTACACGTGTGCGAGATCGTCAACAACCAACCATGTTGTCCGCCCCAACAAGTAAGTTTGGCATGATTGTGATGATTGACCATCATCATTGTATTGATTTTGTGATAAGACTCCCCTGATAAGATGTGATATCTTTATTGATTCCTTACATTTCCTTTGCTTTCTTTCTACGCAATTTATATCGTTGTCCTAAGCGGCATTATTCTGTTTTTTGGAGTCTTGTTTTTTTTGTTTTTTTTTGTTGATTTATGCTTTAGAGTTAGGAATAAAAGTTAATTAAAAATGCTAACTAAAGCATGATTTTTTTCTGTTCGCCTTTAAAGTTTCATACATGCTCATCACACAAATCTTTAATTTTTAGAGGTTCGTGTAGATAATATTATGTAGATGTACCTACCTATATGTCGTTTTCGTTGTTGTTGTAATAGTGTTTTTTTAAATATTTATCGCAGCCTTGTACAAAATAATCGCCTGCTGTATTAAAGCTATGGAATATAACCTTAAACTTTTATGGGAATAAATTTTGATTGGTTTTGTGGATTTTGTAATAATGTGCACGATTAAAACGTTCCGACGTATATTATTGTAACGTAGCCTTTTATTAGATTTTGTTCCGTCTTCCAATAATTATTTCTTATAAGGAAGATATAAATAATAAAAATACTATGTGATGAAATGATCAAAATGTAACAGACTGATTTTAAAATTCAATATATTTGATATGTCCATCAATAAAATATCGATTTGCTTTTAAATTTGTGATTAATGATCAACATTAGCAGCCTCTTGCATCACAAGTTTATAATTTGTTTTATTTATTAAACTCCAAAAGAGTTTGTATTGATGACCTCTATAGCTTAATAAAAGATTATGAGAACTCGTACGTAAATACTTACATGTAGCAAGGTTACTTTTAAGTTAATTTTGATTTGAATGCTCATTTGTGTTAGTTTTAACAGCGAAATATCTATCAACTTTTTGCTTAAAAAATCTTAAATTAAATATATTCTTAACTAATATTTAACTGTTTTAGTCGTTTTTTGCTACGTTCATTACAGTTTTATACAGCAAATAGCAATTGTTTCAGGCAAAAATATATGTAAATTGTTTTTAATTATTTGTGATTATTTTTACAGGTGAACCGTCATGTGAACGATCTGTTCGAGGATCTGCGCGATGGACTCAACCTCATATCGTTGCTGGAGGTGCTATCTGGCGAACACCTCGTAAGTCACTCTTACTACTCTTTTTGCATACTCTATTAGTACTAAGTACATACTAAGTAAACCTCAAGACTATCCTTTATAAGGTACATAGCGTTGAGCTCCTAGGTTCGAGTCCTAGGTCGGGTCAGTTGAGATTTTTTGTCATTAAATTTTGAGTAGCAGCCCGGAGTTCAAAGTTGGCAATGTTGTACTCCAGTTGTGTTAAATTGTCTTTTGGCATCATCAAATATAATATTCAGATTCAGATTTAATGTTATTGCTTTTGTTGGAAATTAAAACGAGTAAGTGAATAAAAATTAATTCTCGCGCTGTTGGCTCGAGAGATTGGCTCACGTGGCGAAATTCGGTTAGGAGGACTGTGTTCTCTGGTTCCGGTTGAGTTTCCAATATTTGGCATAGGTTCAAAACAAAGATTCATATAGAATAATCGATACAAAAAATCGTTTGGGCCTACATTTTTTTCACTCTATTAGGTATATCCGGATCTTATCATTGTTAAGTTTTTTTTTTATAAATACAGTAAATATTTTCGAATATGATAAGTAAACATTTAAAAACAATATTAAAGCTAAAAATGGTCTTTTAATTATTAAGAGCACTTAAAACTCTTCTTGGGAAATAATAAAATGAATTAAGTACGATATAAACTAAATTAACTAATTGATAAAGAAAATCATGTTGGCATTGTTAATATAACTTGTACAATTTTTTAAAACAAAATATTCTCGTACATTTTATATGAAGTAAATTTTGTAGTAAATTAATTTTAAAATGTACGATGAGATATTTTAACGAAGTGCCCCACTAATTAGACTGCTTTTTCGTTTTAGAAATGATTTCGAATGCATTTTTTTTATTATATATAATACATCTCATTTTGCATCGTATTTACTAGCTTAGTACTGGAAATTATCATTTTAAGCTTTTCTAAGGAAATCGTTTGTATCTGTTTTTACCTGTCTATTTAGTCAAGGGTCGTGGGTTTGATTTACATTGTATGGTGTGTTATGAAAACTAATAAACTTAAAAACGTATGCCTAGAAAATTAACAACTTATAGGCACTATGCAAAAAGCAGAATCACATATATACACACGTACACGAATCATATCATTTTGCAAGTTGAAGAAGTGGTTTTGTCATATAATTACAAACAAGTCGGGCGTCATATTATTTTATAGGTATCTTTGATCTTGGTCTGGTTACGAGGAGTGCTAGAGACGTTTCCATTTTGCGATGTAACAAGCGTGTTGTAATTGATGATTCTGTTAGTATTCTTAAGATCTTGGAAATCTTTTTCTTAGAGATTTGGTTTTATAAAAATAAATTCCAAACATAAAAGAAATACATATGAATGAAAAAATATTTATTTATAAAGATAGCGTTTTACCTTTCCCATTCGAATTTTGTAACAAAAATGAACATTTTTGAAGCTCTAATTCGATTGAGCTAAAGCATAATAGATAATAGGTTAGCCATGCAACTTCGGTGACAAAATATACAAATAAAATGGGATTTGGTAATAATTAATTATAATGAGACGTAAGAATGACTAAAATTTATAAATAAAAGCTTTGAAACCTTTTTATATTCATTATCTCGATGGAACTATTAAAACTTAAAAAACCTATTCGTGTATATAGCTACTTCAAAAGCACCTGGCCTATAACGCAATATGCTGCTAATAAATTAAAACAGGTGGGGCTGCGGAAGCGAACTTACTATCTCACCCTTACCTTACGTAGATATCAGGGTTAATATAGGTCGAGGGCATTTAATCGGCATCTGATATAACTAAAAAGTTAGTTGCTAATAACATATGTATTTTTTAACGTTTAATATAGATTTCTCAGAGATGAGATATTTTCCCGCACTAAAAATTATCCTATCTAAAATATAAATTATCATCATACCAAATTTCATCAAAATCTGTCCAGTGGTTTTCTTGTGATGCCTTTCCAGATAGACTAAAAATTGTAGAAACTATACGTTCGGCCTCTGTATCGATAATAATGACTATTTCTATAATATTTTCCAAAAAAATATTTAATGTACGGATTCGACTCAGAATTTTATTATATGTATAGGTTTCGGAAAACCTTTTGTTTTGTTATTATTTAGTGCTGGCTAATATTTTAATGAAATAAAAATTAAAAATGATATGCTATTTTACTTCCTTGTGCTTCTTTGTGTTACTTACGCGTATTAAAGAATGAAAATCGTGCATCTATAGTAAAGATATAGAAATTGCCCCAGTTTTTTATGCTAAGTTAGTTTAATTAAATAGTGACAAATACGCATTTTAGTATTGCGTGTTCGTAATATAATATATGATGTTATTTCACGCCTTATAAATTTAACTCAATTACAATTTACAAGTCATGTCATGCCTAAATATGAAAAAAACGACAGTAAAATGTTAAATTCGCTAAACGTTTTATCTAATTTAATATGTGTTTAAATGTATATTTAATTTTTGTATTAAAATGGATATATATTTTAAGTCATTTTAACTTTAAACAAACTTTAGGTTTAGAAAAAGGGATAATTGTTGTTCTGATTTCCTTAGATTTAGGATCGATGAAATAAAATGTCCTTTTGTTTTTTGAACTATGTATATATTATTTCTAACTATGTATATTAATGTGTTATATCTATATATTTAACTATGTATATATATTTAATGCGATAAGTAGTTTTCAATGCCAAACACAAGTTTTAAGTAAAAATAGCATACTCTTTTTTTTTACAAAAAAATATGGGAAACTACCACGAATACTTATATAACTTACCATGATTGAGTATCAATGATCCCATATCTTCACAAAATTTGATATGTAATTTCCATATTTCTAACTTCTGGACAAACTTTCATTCCATATTTATTTTAGGAGCTTTAAAGTAGGTATTGTAAAAATTGCTTTGAGCTGAACTCGTTATTGATTTTTTTTCTATCATTAATGTTATCAATTTATTAAGTTAAGTTTTTAAATAGTTTCGTTTTAACGTTTAGTATAGATTTCAGTTCAGAGATGAGACATTTTTCAGCAGTAAAAAACATACTATATGTTGACCCGGATAACCAGCTATCATCATACAAAATATCATCAAAATTTGACCACTAGTTTTCTCATGGTGGGTTCCCAGATAGACAGATAGACAAAAAATCTAAAATCTATAGATCCGGTCTTTGTTTCGATAATAATTAGTAATTACTATTTTAATAATATTTTCCAAAAAAATATTTACTATACAGACTAATCAGTTGGAATTTTATTATATGTTACATATAGATAATATATTTTTAAGTAACATATTTGTTTTTTCTATTACAGCCGCGCGAGCGAGGTCGCATGCGTTTTCATATGCTGCAAAATGTCCAAATGGCGTTGGATTTCCTCAGGTACAAGAAGATCAAACTTGTTAACATCAGAGCAGAAGATATAGTGGACGGCAACCCTAAGCTCACCCTCGGACTCATCTGGACCATCATCTTACACTTCCAGGTCAGTGATTCTTTAGTCATAGCTTGTTTTTTTAGGGCCTTTGTTATCTTTGTGATGAAATTTTAAGATTGATGTGATGTGCAGTTAGAGCAGTCCCTGAGATAAGATATGGCGAGATTATTCTGATTTGGTTGGTTCATATCTCTTTTTTTTATAATTCATATACTACAGTATTACCTTATTGTACTAAAAGTGTCGTCTAAACCTAAATAACTATGTGTTTTTTGCATTATTATAGCGGTTTTCTTCATAATTGAAAGTGATTTGTACGCCTTTTCGTTAATGTTTGGTTTGAACTTTGAGATTTGTTTTAATTAAATTATTCTTGACAAATTAAAAAATATCACTTTGTCATAATGGGCAATATTTGGCTAGTAATTAGCGTTATATTAATTTTATTATTTCATTTAAATTGTGAAGCGTAATCCGAATCTGACCCGCAGTTGGAAATATTTCGCGAAACTAATCTAGGTACGTAAGCGTGGACATAATTATAATTTACTTTGATTTCATTTTAGTTATGAGTAATATTTTTTGTTATCTTCTTACATGAAATATATATAACTTAACTTTTTTATTTATTGTTCACGCCCTAACTAAAGTGCTGGATCTAAAGGTCAACATTTTGACAGTGTATTTCTCTAGAGCCCTCTACGATAAAATCCCTATATATTTTTTTTGAATTATCATTATCTAAAGCTCATCAACACTGTAGGCATAAAAACGGTAATCTATGAAAAACAAGATTTTTCGTGTACCAAGAAAAAGTTGCCAGGCGTCGCTAGTTGCTAGTGTCATAATAAACACATCAACTTAAGCACTGGTGGTACTAATTCGTAAACATACAATGGAAGTCTATTGCCTATACTTCCTAGCTTTATTTGCATTTTAGTTAAAATATTGTATAATTCGGAATAAAGTAATGTATATCTTTATTAAATTTAATCGAGAATCGAACCCACTACTTCTTTATATCTATACAAGTTTTCGTTGTTCAATAAGTTATAAAAACATTTCAACTAGCGGTTAGAAGGCAAATATTCAAAAACTGCTTTACTAATGTTAAGCAAACAAGATAGACTTTGCATATCTTATTATTTCCAGTTAAAAAAAGAGCTTTAGGCTAATCTAAAGAATTTTTGATAATATGTCAAATTCATTTAAAAGTACTCGTAAAATTTTAACTCTTATTCTTATTCATTAAATGAAATAGCATTTTCATTTAAATTGCATCAATATCGGTTTATTTACCGGCCAAACAATTAATGTTTCACTGAGCTTCGTAACTTGTTAACCTTTCACGATGAAATGACCAGTTTTTAACCTATTTGAATTTCATTGAAATATGTACATCTATGGTGCATATATTTTGTTATCCCGGTGTTGCCACCCAGAATATATTGACTTAAAACTTTACGATATAAGATGTCACAGAAAAAATTACAATTTATTTTAAGAGTTCGCAAATTATCTATTACTGTTGAATAGTAAATCAACATCTAAATTATAGATAACACAATAAATTGAAGTAAAACGCGTTCATTCAAACTAGTTTTAGGGTATGATAAAATAACATTAGGTACTTAAAAGGCGACATTGTCAATTGAAAAGTCAAAATATTTTTTTTTGTTTAAAGTAGCTAAAGTATGTATTCAGACGTAAGTAGCTTACTCGTCTAAATACATTAATCAATTCAACATTTGATATACTCTGCTGCAGTCCATTTTTTTCATTTGCAAAAGAACCTTATTTATTATGAATGAATTATGTAGCCACCATGACACACATAGGTTGTGAAAACACCGTGTTGGTACGCTGCAAGTGCTCTCGCTATAGGACCTTGTTATTTTGACCTTTGCAATATCTCTGGGGCGTGGCGACGTTTTTGCGAATACTTAATTGTTAATCGTTTATCTTAATTTTAAAAGTTAATCGGTCACTACACTTTTTTTTGAGGATTTTTCTGGAATTTTCATTTGGAATCAAACCCACGACCTACAATGTACCATATGATGCTAGCCAGAAACGTTAATTGCATAGATGTCGAGCTTTTATTAATAACATTTTACGTTTAAACGATTTTTATTATGTCACATTAAACTTGTCTGCGCATGCGACGTGTTAAGTTCACTTAATTGATTTCTTACATCATCGTTTTGTGTTTTGACGTGAATAATTTAAACATGCTTCATATTGGAATCACGAATTTACTTCATATTAATAAAAACGCATACGTTTTGTACATTACCTACTTAAATGTAAATGTTATGTGTTCATAATAATTTAAATTAATTACAATTTCATAATAAATTTACCTGTATCTTAGTAGGAACTACAAATCTGATTTGAAAAAATCTTTTTTGCAAATAGATAGCCCGTTTATTGAGGAAGGCTATAGGCTATATATTATCATGTTACTATCCAAAGGAGCCGAGCAGTAATATCTTTATATATATAATTCTTCTGTGAGTGTGTATGTCACTGAACTTCTCTCAAACGACTGGACCGATTTTGATGAAATTTTTTGTGTGTGTTCAAGGGGATCTGGGAATGGTTTAGATTCACAATTTGAATAATAATTTTCATCAAAAAAATTATTAAAAAAAATTTGAAATTTTCAAATTAAAGACGTGTAGACAGGACAACGTCTGTCGGGTCCGCTAGTAATATATAATCTATCTATCCCACACTAACCGTTATGACGTACCTCGGGACGAACCCCAGGTAAGGGAGCGTGAGCCGCTAGTTTCTTGAATATAAAAAAAAATAGGCAATGAGTTTCGTATTTTAATAGCTCTATTCAACAATCTCCTTTTACTCATCGTTAATATCACGACTTACGAGTGCATATATTACTCTCGATACGATGTTTTTGCACGCTCCGTCACGGATTACCAAAAATGTCAAGTTACATAAAATGTCGTACATCACTCGATCAAAGTTCACTTTCCCTCTCACATTTGCAATCTAGATGTGCCCAAGACTGTTCACGTAATTTATTGCCACATCTTTATAAGTGTATAGTTCTCCCGATATATTTGGATAGCAGAAAGATAGGGTGCTGGTCGCTGGACGTATGGTGATTGGGCGTTTTTGTTAGATTTATGCTGAATAGTATTTTTAATGGGCGAATAGATTGAATAAAACTACTTTATTTTAGTGTTTTTTTTTATTTCTGTAATAGTTTTGGTTCAGTGAGGGTTCTATCATTCAAGGATTGCACAGTACTCTAGATATAATTTGGAGAATTTTAAGTAATTCAATAAATCCAGAGCTTATCTCCTGCATACAAATAAAGAAATTTCAGCTCTATATTGTCATTTCTAACTCAAAAAGTATACCGACTTGTATCACGTTAAAAAAGTTATTGTAATAAAAAAGAAAGTATAAATCGGTCCTTTCGAATTAAGTAATAGGTATCTCTTCTTTTAACCTTTTATTATTACCCGCGATGGCTACGGAGGTGGTATACGCATTTGGGGTAAGAGTTGTTTGTGCGTGTGTCTGTTACCATTTTTCTCGGAAACGGCTAGGTCGATTTTGAAACAGTTTATCGCTTTTAGTCGATCAATAAGAGCACTATTTATATATCATTTTTATAAATTATGAAATTATTATTGCTTTAAAATCCATTCATGCAAACAGGACCTTCTATAGTATTTGAGTAGATATATGTATGCAGCAACAGCCTACAGGTTATATAATCATATGCCTATCTCTTTCAAACGCCGGTATTGTTCCAGTGCAATTCAATCGGATGGATGTAGAATTTGTAATGAGGAAGGTTGAGAACCTCTTCTTAGTATTGCGTGGATACATGCATTGTTGTTGAATCTTTCGCTAGAAAATACCTATGGTTACCAGGAAGATGCCATAGACATACGTATATTGTATGTTAAGATTAACTTTGTGAAAGGTTTGTATAGTTATTTGAAAGAAAAAATTGACGAATCGTTCTTACCTAAGTCTATTTGACCAAACAGATTTCCTTTCAATAAATTGTTTGTTATTTTTGAGTTCATACAAAAATCCTATTGAAAATGCTTTTAAACTTCTAGTTTTTCTGATTTTTTATCAATTTTTCGAGTTATTTTCCAGTCTTTACCCTAGAGATAAATAACGAAATTAGCCGTTCTCAATCAACTCGCACTTCTCCGATTTTTATTTATAATTTATCAGATCAAAAGATAAAAGTAATTATTAATTTTTGATATTATCAATTGTGACGGTTAAATGGGTATAGATAGCATGAAAAACATCTTGAGGTACCTAGGTCGATTTCCACATGGGCATAAACAATGTAATAATCATTCAAAATATAACAAAGTGTGACCTTTGCTACAATCCATCTTCTAAGTCAATCATAATTTATTTTATTATTTATTTATTCAAACTAAAATCTACAGCTACATACAGAGATAGAAAGTACATAAATAGAAAAGTCCTTATATAAGCCAAATATTTAGGAAATACAAGCCTATAAAGTCTCTAACAGCATTTTTTGCAGAGTTTCTTTCGCCAGTTCTTCTCAGGTCTTAGGCATCTTCTTTCCGAACTGGTAGTAGACTCATGACGTTCATTAAAAAATTGTAATAATTTAATGCTGGATAAAATATTTTGAATTTATTAATCTATAAAGACACTACGCCTGTGCAAACTGGCTTAAGATTTTGACTTTTGAGTGTATTAGCACATTTTATTGTCACAGAATGCAGAACACATAGTAGATTTATCTATTTCAAAATATCGCGAAATAAAAAAAATATATATTTAAAATGAGTATTTCTTTTCCGTTTTCGCAACACAAAGAAAAATCTATGCCTCGCAATAGTTTTCTTATACAGATAACGCAATAGCGAGGTGATTAATTATTATTGAAATCAACGCATTATTGTTTTGTTCTTGAAATATTGTTAAGGTGACATGACCAATGTCTTGAGGTTAATTAGTACGGAATAATTAGTATGAAGACTTAGAATTACATATAGGTACAAACATACATACATATTTCTTAAGCATCTTTAATTCAATTATATACAGATTTATAAATATATATATATATATATATATATATATATATATATATATATATATATATATAT